GATTAAAAAAATAAAATAAGATTAACTATTGAAGGATAAGAATGTGGTAGAAAATTGTGAAGATACGCAACTCTTCAATTCTTTATTCAATAAATTGTACTCTCTGATAAGCAAATTTAAGTAAATACTGCAATTTTTCTGCTATTAGTATTAAAACAAGAAGTACTAGACTATAAGTATAGAATATATTTCAATTCCAAATTCAATATTAATAGAAACTGTTTTATTTTAAAAACGAGTATAGAAAACAGATCTTAGTCCACATCAGTCTTTACAGAGAGTAAAATATATTTAAAGACTATTTTAAAAGAGCTTGTCCAAGCTGCTGTTGCTCAAACACCTTCAATTTTTACTGTCATTGTTGAACTTCTAAATTCTTAAAGCTTTTAGCAACATATTAATTTTCCACTTCTATATTCTACTAGAAGCTGGGATAGCCCCTACTTTTCAATAGCCAAGTGCATATTTTATCTTTAATTCTCATTAAGTACAGTTTCGGTACAGTTTTATGGAATTTTTGATTGGCAAAACCTAAAACTGAACCCTAAAAGTATACTACTTGTATTTTAATTTTAATAAATAGTTTAAACAATTGAATACGTCTTTTATTTTTTTATTTTTATTTATACTGTTATATTTATATCTTAAATTACACTTATAGTTACAATACAACTTAAACTAAGTGTTTAGTCTTAATTACAATATAAATCTGTTGGGAAGGTCACACCCTCTTCAGCCTCCTTCTCCTGTTGCTGGAATGCTAGCTTTAAATAAAGTGTGGAAAATCGGGCGACATTATGTAGTCTCCATATATATTTATATATATATCGCTTTGGCTTGGAATGTTTTGATGACAGAAAGTTGAAAAAAGCGATTAGCCTGTGATAACAGAACACATAATTACGCATATAAATCCTTTTTTCTTACATTAAAGACAATAGTTTCATCATTAAAGTGCAATTAGTATCACTTATAGAGTTGTAGCAATGTTTTACTTTCTTAAATATGCCGTTTCTTTTTCTCGTGCCAGCGTACATCCTGTAATGTCCTCCTGGCACGAATTCACGAAAATATTATTTCCATCCTTAGGCCCGCTCCGACCAGCAGCCTCGTTAAGCGCGTCAAGTAGACAATAAAGCAGAAATAAAAATAACAACCAAATTTTGTTACTTCTGTCGCTGCCTACATTTGGACTGAGCTGGCGACGCATAAAAAGTTTCGGCAAATGATAAACGCCATTTGCGTCTGCAAAGTACTGAACAAAAAAAAAGAAGAAGCTCATGAAATAAATAAAAAATAGGGCACAACGGCAACAAAAACAGCAAAGTTCTTCGATGCTGTCAGCCATTACAGGATCGTAATTGTCCTTGAACTTGGTAAACAACTTGGCAAATGCCAAACATTCATACAGAAACAAATACTCGCAATATTTTGCGCAGTTCTCGAACCATTTCGCCCCACTTGCAATACCCGCCATAGATATTGCAATGCAATCATGGCTAAAATATATGGCCAGCTGGCAAACTGTCCAACTTCATACATACACGTACTACATAAGTACATTTGAACATATACCCGTATGTACATGACTTGCCAATCGACTGCTGCTGCAAATGATATGCCAACTGACTGGAGCAGTGGTATTGGTTGGGGTTCATCTGTCGCTTATCGTTGGGGCTGCCTTGACGCAGAGAAACTGGAAATGATGTCAACATTGAAAAGCTTCATGTCCACAATAATTTTTATTTGATTTTTTAAGTTTTCCTCCATTTTGTTGTCTTCCATTTGCTCATTTAGTTTCTTCAACTAAAGGGAGGCAGACAACTTTAAGTATAAGAAAATAATGATAAATTTGTTGCCGTATTAAAGAAATAAATGGCAGTTAATTGTCAATTGCATGTTTATTTAAAATGTAGTCATTTCTGATCGATTATTAAAGTACAATTTGTATTAGTTTTAATTTACATTTCCGTATACTTGTTAAGTCTTTGGAAATCTCTAAATAATTTGCAAAAATTAATTACTTTTTATAGTTTGTTAACGAGATTATTAGAACATACGGTAAGATTAGGTTAGGTTACAGCAACAAGCATGAGCCTGCTAAGATCTGGAAAATATCCTCGCCTTCGTTAAATCTACAGCTTCTGCAGAAATTATGGAACACAAAAAAACATCGCTGTTGTTCAGAGTAAGTCAGAGTTGTCCGTACGTGGTTGGAGGTCGGAAGCCTGAAGGAGATTAGTTGTATGGCGAATCCGTTATCACTGAATTGTTATTATAGCATTCAGTGATGGTTTTATGAGAATAATATGTAAATCGACCTGCTTCCTACAATATTTAGGGTTAGGTGGCGTGAGGCCTGCAGTGTTGCTGTAAGAGAAGACGGATAAAGAATCCCGCAAAAGATTCTCTCTTCTATCTTATATCTATAGGAGACCTTCCCATTCTTACTCGTTTTAAGAGTTATTTCTAGTATGCCATTGAATTGATTAAAAAGGAATACCGCTGTGCAATAATATTTATAATAAATATTCATACAATAAATATTTTAAAGTATTTCTATCTTTAAATAACAATTATTATGTATCAATATTATCAATATAACTGATATATATCTGGTATAAGAAATTCCAATATCAACTCTTTTTTGTTTTTGGTAAAGCCCTAAGTAATAACTGGCACATTCATTCAGTCGAGCACATAAAGTTTTAGGTTTGAAAAAAATGAACTTTTCGTACATCTTTAATTTCGAAAATCTCTCTGTTATGTTTTAGATACTAAAACAATATATTTACAATTTTAAATTGGCTAACAAATGAATCAACACAGAAATAATTTCTTATTTTTATTTAAAATAAATAAATAAATAAAAGTACCAAATATTACAAGCTTAAAAAATAAGCATGCTTTTAAAAAATGAATTGTCTTGAATGGTTGAAGGCAGGCATATAAATTATTCACCTTAATTGCCGGCCATTCGACCTATAATTGTTTGGGACGTAGACACATATCCCTAAGCCTTGTTTGCCCCAAGTGAGCAATAATTTGTCTAGCATGCACATAAAAATCAGCTGCGCCTTAAATTTTGATTAATTAACTCATAAAATTGCCAGACACAAGCTGCACTGAAAACACTCAGCGGCTTATATACCAATTTATTTATTTTTATATGCTGCTGCGGTTTCTCCCTCAACTCCATGACTGACGGCCTTTGTGGCCAGGAACGAGTATCAAAGCGATGACAGCGACGATGGCGACGATGGCGACTGGCCGGCCAACTGGGGCATTGAAAACTTTCGAGCAACAAAGGCGCAAAGTTTTATATTTCAGCCGAAAAACGCAACAGACCAAGAGCTCAGCAACAATTCCGACCTGCTGCTGCTGGTGCCCCGAACGCCCCCAGAGAGGCCTCACCATCCAACCATTCCGGCCATCCAACACGTCAACGAGTGCACAAAAAGTTTCAGCTTCGTTGAATTTGTGCAGCTTCTGCTCTTTGGGTGGCTTGTTGCATGTTGCAACGTGTCAGTAGCAACTAGCATGTTCTCACCCAGTTCCACGCCCCCTTTACGCCTCGTGCACGTTGGGCTGCGTTTGACAAATACCGCCACCGATGCCATTGACGTCATTAGACTTAACAGCCATGTCCGTATGTACATACGAGTTTGGTGTGCACGAGGTTCGTTCGCGTCTTCAGGCGTGCTTCTGCAGCGGGACGGGCTTGCGTGCTGGTTCCGATACTCGGTTTTGGTTCTAGTTCCAAACGAGGTTTCAGTTCCAATCCTGGCTTTGGGCTCCCTTCTGGTCTTAATTGCATTAGGCCTATTTTCGGTCGTTCTTTTAATTCTGATTTCGGTTCTGGTTAAGGTGCAGGATCCCGTGGTCGTTCATGTCCTTTTTTTGGGTCCGAATTTGGTTCCGTTAGTATTGATGTTTGAAGTTCCGTTTTTGGTTCTATATGCTTCCATTGTGCGTATTTTTCGAACAGCCCTTGCTTGCACCCAAAGCTGCACACTGCTATTGTGGCTTAACTCATGGCATCAGCTCGTCCGGGCAGCAGAGAGTCCATTGAAGCGCACCAAGGATACTGGCTCCGGCCTGTGGTGATGACAACAGCAAGAAATGGCGATGACGATGGCGACAGTTTTTTTCGCGCTGCAAACTTTCTGGCCAGTGACACATTTTTGAATTGTTGAAGCCTGTTGCACTTTTTGTGCCTTAGCAGTCACGTTGTCGCCCAAATCGAATAACAAATACGTCGCATGGTTGATAAACAAAGCACTGTACGTGATGGGGTGAAAGGAAAAGGTTTACTGAACTGTGCAAAAATGATTGGGAATTGAAAAGACCTTAAGCTGTTAACGGGCTTTGAAGCACAGAGATCGTTTGCCTTTGTTACCTTTGTCACATATCAGTGTTGCTGTAAAAAAACTAAAACCAAGCACACATATTCGTTCTGGTCTATGATTACAAAACGATTGCATAAAGTTGTAGCTTCTTTGACCTTTTGTGCTATTGTTAAAGGATTAGAAAGAGATCTGTTTCGCACATTAAAGTTCCTTTAATATAACTTACCAATCAGTAGAAGAACTTGAAATATAATAACCGACCATAATACATATGTATGTTTAAAAAAAGCTAAACATTAAATGTATTTGTAATTGCAATCCAGAGGTTTATTTCAGAGAGTAAGTGTTCTTCCTATAATTAATTCTTTTCATTTATTTAATTTTTTCTAGAATTGTTTATATACTCCATTTGTTATAGTATACCAAAATGTTTACAATATGGTTCACAAATATGGTTCTACATATTTGTTGAACAGGTAATGAACAAATATTGAAACAACTTTTAAATATTGCCAAACCAGTTTTGAACAAACTCACTTCATTCTTTAAATATAATTAATAATTTGAAACAACTTTTAAAATGGAAAAAGCTCCCTATAAAATTTAAGTCCATCCCCAACATGATTGTATAAAAAAGTGAAAGCCGAGTTGTATGTTTTCCATATTGAATTTTTAATGTGCTGAAATGTACTAAATCGATCACCAGCTAGACAATAAAAGTTGTAATGCTGTTATCCTCTAGAGACCTATAACTTTGGCATAAATCTCACTTTACAGGTGTTATAAAATTTATGAAAATTGTAATGCTAGACATCTGGAAGTATAAATAATAGTAGAGCCCGGTTCAAAAGTTTTCCTGCTTTTCTAAAAGTTGTTAAACTGCTATCCTTTAGAGATACGGGGGATGGTCTCACTTCCGCTCAATTGTGGCCACCAGGATGATTTTGCGTTTTTAATGAAGAAACTAGGAACATTTGTAGTTTTACTTGGATTGATAAAGTTGAAGCAGCATTACTCGAGCTCCACTTTTCTTCTTTTTTTGTACTTACAACTGCTATGTGGATTAAAAGGTATTTTTACCCTCTCAGTCATGCTCTTTGGAGCCAACAATAGGCATGGGTGGTGGCGTTGAATATGGTTCGATTTCAACAGGTTCGAAGTCCCCCTCCGAGTTTCTTAAAACCAGACCTAATTGGGCTGGTTCTTGTGGCGTCGCAGTTGAAGAAATGATCCCATATTCCTTCAACTCGTCAGAATTGAACATAAGCACATTATTTTTAGTGTATAATTGCTGATTGAGAGGCCGGACTTTCAAAAGGGACGCTATCATGTATTTCAATTCAAGAACTTTGGTGTTATCCTTGGCCTCAAAAAATAATGTAGTTTTATTCTTGCGTATCATTAGATATATATCCATTTCTAACTATTTATTTATATAAAAATGAAATATAAATCAGTTATACTGGTACTTTATAAACAAACCTGTTGAATGTTTCTGTGTTGGCCAATTAACACGTTTCTTGTGTATTGTTGAGTCTTACTAAAAACTACTGAATTATGTGTTTGTAGAGTATACTGGTTCTTAAATACTAATTCAATGCCCACTTAGGTGCAGAGTATGGCGTACTTTTCTATGAACATGTTTCTTATATCCGATAAAGAGCATTATAATATTGTCCCACAAAGACTTCTTTGGATGTCGTTAACTAAATTAGTTTTCAGACTTTTCAAATAAACCTACTCTTTTATTATTGTTGTTCCTGCTCTGTTTTTGTTATGTTTGGTGAATTCGGCATTGTTTGCTTCTCGTCTGGCCTCCCTTTGCGCTCGTTCCGTCTTAATACCAATTACCAAAACCCTGCCGCATGTTTGTCGTAAAACAGGTCCGCCAACTTGAATGGCAGATGAGCAAATGGCCTAAATGGCCAAAGGGCCGATGCTGCGCCCATTTAAAACGCTCCGTAGGTCCTACAAAATGTTAATGAGGCATGCAGTCGGCACTGGAGTAAGATATGATTAAGGTACTAAAAGAAAATCAAATTATATCATTTTGAGAGTGGTGGAAATTTTCAGGTACAACCAAACATAGACTGTTGATTTATGCCTTAAAGAGAGTTTGGAAATTAAAGAAAATAATATTAATTATTATAGAAAATGGGATCACATTTAAAACAACGTATATATATATAAAATATTTTCTAAGAATTTTAACTATTTTAAGGGCTATCCATTCTTTTCACATGTTTTCGAAAAGTAAGCCTTTTGTTGAAGAAAATCCTCAAAGATAGATTTGAGGAAATAAAATAAATAACTTTAATTGCTGTTATATTGAAAGAAATAAGAACTTTTTTGCATACAAATATCTATAATTGCACTAAAAATATGCTACATTTTTAATTAATTTTTTTTTAGAATTGATTAATCAACAATTATCGTTGTTATTGTGTTTTTTCAAACTATGTAGACAGATGATTAATGGGATAGGAAATCAATATTAAACTCTTAACACATTCGCTTCTATTTAAAATAGACTGCTAATACTTTTTCGCCAAAGGGATGTTATCAAAATTAGCTTCCCTAGCTCGTATATGTATTAATTTACTGCACAAATTACGTTTAGCCACCATTGTTGCTCTAAAATCTTGCCATTGACAATTTAATTACAACCTTGAAGACGTAAGCTGCAATTTGTATTGTGCCTTAATCCTAAATCATTGACAACTTGTATGACTGAATGACTCACACAAATTGAAATTCAATTGCACATGTGAAGAATCAGCTTACGAAAATGTTCAGCCCAAATAAAGTTCCGATTGTGTGCATGCGTTTATATGTATATTGTTGCCGTGCAACTCAGCTTTATATCTGTCCCTCTATCGCCCTTTCCATGCCTCATTTGCATCATGTAAGACAGACGACGACGACAACTGTGCGACATCAATTAGGAAATCAATTTTGCGGCTTGCTTGTGTCAGCAAAACGGCCTTCCCACGCACACACAATGACGTAGAACCTAGTGTGTACATGCACTCGAAGAAAAATTGTACCGACATCGCAAAAACAAAATTTTAATAAACATGTTGATGAAAGCCGCATCCATAAATGATTGATTGGCAATACGTCTTATTAAAGAGAAAAGGAATAAAAAATAAATAAATAAATAAATGAAATAGGTATTTATTTAATAACTTATTTCATTTATTTAATAACTCCTCCTAATATCAGCATATTTGTTTGTTAAAATGAAAATGTTTATTATCTTAAAATGATATTTGCTCATTTGTCCAAATAGAAGTAGTTGAAGTTGTTTTATAAAAGTTGAAGGAACAATTCTTCTTTAAAGGTATACTTTTCATTAATATGACAAAAGTTGTTTATACTTGTATTTAAATAAAAACTAAGAAACATTCGAGCCATTTTGTTATTAGTTTTTGAAGAACTTTCTGCTGCTGCTGTTCTGTTCACATTTTACATTAAGCATAGAAATGGCTTATATTCAAACTTTAACCTTTTAAAGGCAGATTTTTCTTTACAGCATGTTTAACTGTAAACTATTTGCTAGAAATGTTAGATGCTTAAACAATTGATAAGATTTCAATTAAATTATAATTGTCGACCAAGCGAAGAAAAACAAAATTAACACAATAATTATTATTCATGAAAATGAATTTCTAAATTTGAGATTAATATGAGTTTTGGATTCTGAGTGTAAGACTGTGTCGCTTACCGAACCGAGTGAAAGCCAACTATAAGCCTATCAACAACTGCCGAATTGGTTAGGCTCATAGCCTGTGTGGGCTATCTTCTGCCCCCCTCGCGCACTCTCCTGCATGTGGCTGGCTTGTGGTTAGTTGCATGTGGCAGCCAAATATTGGACAACAAGGTGAACTTTGCAGTGCACCGCCAATTTATATTACGATGGCCATGGCACAAAAGTTTTGATGCACGATCTGCAGTTTCAATTTATTGCATTTGCGACATTTTTAGCAGAAAAACAATACGCAAAACTTTTGAGGAACAACATCCTTGTGCGAAAATTGCAGTGACAATGCAAAATATATTTCTCGAAACTAACCCGAACTAAAATTTTCGCCGAGCAAGGTCTTCGAAATACCCAGCAGAGGAAAAATAAGCATCGTTCCTGCTTGTCTGCGTATTATGTAGTAAGGCTATTATTCATTCATTTGATAAGGTTAACCTGATTAGCAAAACCACAGAAATGGAGCTAACAAAATGTCTGCTACCAAACTGTATTGCTGGCAAACGCCCATCCACATACCACCACAGCTTAGCATTTCTAAGCTTAGCCTTAGTTCATACATTCCTGGCTGTCACTTCATGGTCAAGTGCTGAAATATCTGTAATTTTTTAACGCCAAGCGCACAAGATCAACTCAAGAACGATTTGTTCTTGTGGATATAGTAAATGTAAAAGAAATCACGCTGAAGTTAGCTTTTTCATGTACGAATACACTTATAAAGGATTATTTGATTTGTCCATAGAATGTATCAGACAGTTCACAAATTTAAAGTAGATCTGGGAAGACCACAGATAAGTCTCTTGTCTTTTGATGGTCTGTAATCACAACATGGAACCGAATTCAGGTTATTTATGGGGTATTTATTTTGGCTAGTGAAAAGTATTAGTTGGTTGAAGTGTAACTTCTGATCACAGTACAACTAAGTACTTTGTCGTTACATTTTTGCCTGATGTACAATTCTTCTTTAAAGGTATACTTTTCATTAATATGACAAAAGTTGTTTATACTTGTATTTAAATAAAAACTAAGAAACATTCGAGCCATTTTGTTATTAGTTTTTGAAGAACTTTCTGCTGCTGCTGTTCTGTTCACATTTTACATTAAGCATAGAAATGGCTTATATTCAAATTTATAAACAAACTTTAACGTTTTAAAGACAGATTTTTCTTTACAACATGTTTAACTGTAAACTAATTGGTAAGATTTCAAATAAATTATAATTGTCGACCAAGCCAAGGAAAACAAAAAATTAACACAATAATTATTATTCATGAAAATTAATTTCTAAATTTGAGTTTTGGATTCTGAGTGTAAGACTGTGTCGCTTACCGAACCGAGTGGAAGCCAACTATAAGCCTATCAACAACTGCGGAATTGGTTAGGCTCATAGCCTGTGTGGGCTATCTTCTGCCCCCCTCGCGCACTCCCCTGCATGTGGCTGGCTTGTGGTTAGTTGCAAACGCCCATCCACATACCACCACAGCTTAGCATTTCTAAGCTTAGCCTTAGTTCATACATTCCTGGCTGTCACTTCATGGTCAAGTGCTGAAATATCTGTAATTTTTTAACGCCAAGCGCACAAGATCAACTCAAGAACGATTTGTTCTTATGGATATAGTAAATGTAAAAGAAATCACGCTGAAGTTAGCTTTTTCATGTACGAATACACTTATAAAGGATTATTTGATTTGTCCATAGAATGTTTCAGACAGTTCACAAATTTAAAGTAAATGTTAGAAAAGCCGGATCTGGGAAGACCACAGATAAGTCTCTTGTCTTTTGATGGTCTGTAATCACAACATGGAACCGAATTCAGGTTATTTATGGGGTATTTATTTTGGCTAGTGAAAAGTATTAGTTGGTTGAAGTGTAACTTCTGATCACAGTACAACTAAGTACTTTGACGTTACATTTTTGCCTGATGTATCTGAATTAACGTATTTTTATAAATGATAGTGTTTTCCAAGGTCGTCTCTCGAGTTGTATGTTTTGACGGAAAATAGAGTAACACTAAAGGATAAGCTCATACGCGAGTAAAACTGCGAAGGATACTTTTCAGTGCGTGCCTAACTGTGCGTATACGCAACATAAAAGTTCAGTCCTCAAATACAAAGTAATAGTAATAGGAAACCTTTAGCGACATCAAAATAGGGTGCATTATATTGGTTTACACACCATCGATGCATAATTGAATCATATTTGTAATGTATTCGTATAATTAAAAACCCCATAAAGATGACTGTTATTTTTTGGTGTTCTTTTATCACAGGTGATTGATAGGGTATTTATTTTCGGTAATGAAAAGCATTATTCATTGCTTTTACATATGAAATGCATTTGCCCTTCACAATTAGAGAGAGCATAGTCGAGCTCAGCACCAAGTATTTTAACTCGGCCACAATGACCTAACGGACTATTTTTATACCCAAATGTAAAAGAGCTTCTAACCACTTTGCTCTTCTCTTTGACTGTTAAACGCAGAGTGTCGATTCCAAATGATGAGATCCAAAACGATTGAGTTTCTACGAATCCCCGCATTCGTAAGTATTTTTTTTTTTCCTCTAAGTTCACTAAATGGGCATTTTTACCGATGCAAAGCTTGTTTGCAACAAACCAATTTA